GTATTTATCGATGATATCTATATTGGTATATTCTCGTTCAAAGGTTGAGCATGCAGATCACTTGCGTACGGTGCTCAGAGTTCTACAAAAAGGGAAGTTGTATGCAAAACTCTCTAAATGTGAATTCTGATTGAACTCTGTAGCTTTCCTTGGGCATATCATTTCGGGTGAAGGCATCCGGGTGGATACACAAAAGATTAAGGCAGTAAAGACTTGGCCTAGACCCACAACACCGATAGAGGTTCGTAGCTTCTTCGTTTGGCAGGCTATTACAGGAAACCTGTAACGAAATTTTTTTCTCTTTTAGAATCTTTGACCAAAGTGGTATGTGGTGTCTCGCTTGATGATCCAAAATAACATAAGGACATATATGGTGCAAGTAAGTTGAAGGAAGGTTGCGAACAAGTATAAATAGATATGTGTAGGTCGTAAGTTAAAGTATGGTGGAGCGACAAGGTTTTAGGAAGATACGAGGAAAGATAAGAAAAGATGAGCAAAAATGTGACGAGAATGGATAAGTCCTTGAGGTTAAGCTCATAAGAGAGCTGATGGTTTCTCTAAGTTATTGAAGACTCAGTATAGCCTAAATGAACTCAAAGGAGTCTAAGACTAGTAACATTTGGAATAGATGAAATACTGCGCTGGTAATGGAGTAAGGGCGTAGTTGTGATAAATAAAGGATGAAGTTTGGGCCTTTGAAAAGGGGAATTTCATGAATTGTGAAAGATTAGAATACCCATAAAAGTTAAGTCAGAAGGGATCCAAGTTCTAATGGACCGATGCTTGCAAACAGAGTTCCCAGGCATTAAAGGACAGATTAACTTCAACACCGGTTCTAACACTCCCAGAAGGGACCGATGGTTATGTTATTTATTGCGACCCTTCAGCCATTGGATTGGGTTGTGTACTGATGCAGCATGGTAAGGTTGTGTCTTATGCTTCTAGACAACTAAGAAAGCACGAGAAGAACTACCAGACCCATGATTTAGAGTTAGCCGCGGTGATTCATACACTAAAGATGTGGAGGCACTACTTGTATGGCATTCATGTTGATGTCTATGTGGATCAAAGAGCCTCCGGTACATCTTCAAGCAAAAGGAATTGAATCTATGTCAAAGGAGATGGTTAGAGCTACTTAAAGACTATGACGTTGATATTTTATACCATCCGGGGAAGGCAAACATAGTAACTAACGCCCTCAGCCGTAGATCTATGAGTAGCCTATCGTATTTATAGCCAGAAAAGAGGGGAATATCCCATGAGGTTCATCAGCTAGCTAGTCATGGAGTTCGGTTACTGGACTCAGGTGACGTTGGGATTACTCTTCAGGATACAACAACATCCTCTTTAGTAATTGAAGTAAAGGAACGCCAGTACGAGGATCTTGTGTTAGTTCATTATAGGGATACCACCCTTCAGAAGGAGAAGATGCCATTTGAAATTACAGAAGATGGAGTCCTCAGATATCAAGGACGATTATGTGTGCCTAATGTTGCAGGGCTGCGTCGCCAGGTTATGGGAGAAACTCACTATTCCCGTTATTCTATCCATCCAGGAGCAACAAAGATGTATCATGATATCAGGGAAGTGTATTGGTGGGGCGAAGTGAAAAAGAATATAGCAGAGTTTGTTGCTCAGTGTCCTAACTATCAGTAGGTTAAAAATTGAGCATCAGAAACCCAATGGGTTATTGCAAGCTATGGGGATTCCGACTTGGAAATGGGAAGTAATCAATATGAACTTCATCGTAGGCTTACCTCGTACCCAGCATAAGTTCGATTCGATATGGGTTATTATTGATAGGCTTACAAAGTAGCCCATTTTCTGCCCGTAGAACTACATATCCCTCAGAAAATTATGCGAGGCTTTATATCAAGGAGATAGTACGACTGCATGGTGTCCCTATGTCTTTTATCTCGGATAGAGGAGCTCAATTTACAGCTAACTTCTGGAGGTCCTTCCAAAAATGATTGGGGACTCAAGTAAGTCTTAGTACAACATTTCATCCCCAGAGAGACGGGCAGGCTGAGCGTACTATTCATACACTGGAGGATATGTTACGAACTTGTGTAGTAGACTTCAAGGGTAGCTGGGATGATCATCTGCCACTTACTGAGTTTGCATATAATAATAGTTACCATTCCAGCATTCAGATGGCTCCATACGAAGCTCTTTACGGACGGAAGTGTAGGTCGCCTATAGGGTGGTTTGATGTTAGAGAATATGGATTATATGGGCTAGACCTGGTTTAGCAAGCCCTAAAAAAGGAAAAGTCATATTCCGATGTGCGGCGATGAGATTTAGAGTTCGGGGTTGATGACTGGGTATTCTTAAATGTGTCACCTATGAAGGGTGTGATGAAGTTTGGCAAGAAAGGCAAACTTAACCCACTGTATATTGGGCCTTATAGGATCATTCGGAGAGTGGACCAAGTAGCTTATGAGTTAGAATTGCCCTCGGAGCTAGAGTCTGGCCATCCGATTTTTCACGTATCTATGTTATGGAAGTGCATTGACGATCCTACCCGAGTGGTACCCACGAATGATGTACAGATTACAGAGGACTTGTCATATGAGAAAATTCCAGTTGCCATTGTAGACCGACAAATACGCAAGCTATGGAATAAGGAGATAGCCTCCGTGAAAGTACTTTGGAGGAACAACAATGTGGAAGAAATGACTTGGGAGGTCGAGGAAGACATGAAGTCTAGATATCCCTACATATTTCTTCCTCTAGAGAAGGGTCCGACTGAGACGTCATAACCTTAAAGTGCATGTATAAATTCTTGTGTTGGATATTGTCGTTGGTCATGTGAAGCCATTGTCGGTATTCATAATTATGGTCCTGTGTGTCGTTGGGTCATTAAGCTTCTACGGGGAGAGTTAGTAGTGGTGTTGTTACAGAGGCGACCTTGCCAAAGTTATATAGATCATGGGGAGTTGAACAGTCGAGGACGAATGTTTCTAAGGGGGAAATATGTTACATCTTGCGATTTCGTACGTTAAAAGTTTCGTTTTCGGTTAACGACGTAGACTCGGGGATGAGATCATCTTGAAGTTAATGTACTTACGCTATTTATAACAAGCGATAAATAAGCATTATGAAGGATAAAGGGGTACACGGATTAAAGAAAATGAGTTTCGTTACAAGTGGCCAATTTGGAATAAAATACAAGTCGAGCAATAATACCCGATAATTATGAACTAGTACTATGCAAGGTACCATATGACCTTGGTAGTATAATATATAAAGTATATATGAAGCATTTTAAAAAATAAATAGAATTTTTAAGTAATTTATGATAATTTTTAAATTATGCGGGTAATTGATTAATTACCGGGTAATGAAATATTACCTAGTTAACTAATAAGTGGATAATAATTAATGAAAATCTCACTCCAAAAATGTGGCAAAAATTCCATAAGGCTAAGAATGACTTATAAGTCATCTATGACATGTGGCTACCTATAGCCAAATTAAAATCTAACTAACATAAGACTTGAATAAGTCTTATCTTCATTTCATTCTTAGGTCCAAATAAGATCAAAAACATTTCCTTCTTAAAAGGATTCAAGAAATGGTTAAATACTGTCTTATATTCATTCATTCTTAAGTCCAAATACATGAGAAGATTAGAAACATTTCCTTTTAAACACAAAAGATAGTCTTCGTTCCAAAAAAAGAGGCTTTAACAAAAAGGATTTGTTGGAATAGTAGTAACGCGGAATTTTGTGGTTCTAGAAGAGTACTGTGCAATCTTCGTCAAGAATAGTACATGGAATTTTTCCTACTCCAGGTATGATAAGGCCCGACCTTCTTTCTTTTGGCATGGTCCAAATTATACTGAAGAAACGAGCAAACACACAGTTTCCATAAATTACTCTATTCATAGAGATATTAGGGGTGTCTATATTCTTGATTCCCCATGAGAATATTTTTACTATCTTCTATTCATGGGTCTCAAAATAGTACACAGTTGAAGAAGTTTATTCGGAAGGAATATTGAGATTATTACGTATTTTTAATGTATTTCACTCAATTATACATGTGCATTGACCCGTGACCAGATGGCGTTATATACGCGTATATATGTAAATATATGTATATGGGATATGGGAAAAGGTTACGGCGTTATATACGCACCACCACCTGATCAGCTGGTATATGTTGATGATGTTGCCCACAGTGGCCGAGACGATATGATGGGATGCCCTTATCAGCTTGATGATATTATGTACACCCATACCTATGCATGACATGACATTTATACGCACACACATGACATTATAAACGTTTCAGAATTTACAAAGTTATTCAGATTTAAAGATGTGTTTCTGTATTCCATGTTTCATCTATGTCTTTTATGTACTAATTTTCATGCCTTACATACTCAGTACATTTTTCGTACTGACGCCCTATTTCACGGGGCTTGCGTTTCATGCCCGCAGGTGCAGGTAGGCAAGCTGACGGTCCTCCTTCTTAGGATCCCTGATCAGCGAGAGTTGGCGTGCTCTACTTAATCCGGAGCTATTTTTAATTTTGGTACGATACATTTGTATATATAGGGGTATGACGTGGCTCAGTCCCGTCTTTATATAGTTATATTTCTATTAGAGGTCTGTAGACAGTATGTCTAGTTGGATAGTATGTCGCCTTGCCGGCTTCCAGTTTTGAGATTTATAGTTGTCTATAGTAGCCTTGTCGGCTCGCCCTACGTATGTTGTACATACATGTATGTATGCCTTTTTGGGTAGATTTCTTTTATGTACATTATTCTCGTAATTCAACAAATATTATTCAGGTTTATAGCTTAGACACATGTTTAGGGGTGTTTGACAAGTAGGACTCCGGCACCCGTCGCGACCCATCAGTTTGGGTCGTGACAGATATTTTGGTTTAATTGGTTGTGGCATAAAAATATAAGTTATATTGCTTAGCCTATGAAATAGATTTTAGGTTAAATAGTTTGCGCCCATCGTGGGGCCCAAGCAACTGCATAATTATTCCAAAGTTTTTCTGATCCTTTGATTGATTTTCTCTTTATTGTTTGTGACACATCATGGCTGAAAATAAAAGTAGGTTATCATCATCACAAAATTCATATCAATCCCAACGAAATCAACATTAACACCAACCCAAAGAACTGCAAATGAAGAGGATGAAAGGATTCAATTGGACTTAGGTAAATTCAACAACATGCTTGGAACAAGTAGATCAGTGTGGTAATATTGGCTCTAGCTAGGAACATGAAACACAGGATCACCTGCATCTCTAACGGTAGAACTGGATAAAGGAACAACAAATGACGCACTACAGAGTTCCAAAGTTACCAAAGAATTGTGGTCTAGAGGTGTGGGAACCGGTAACACTGGACAAGGTATCGGTACCACTAGTACTTTAGAACTGTAATGTTTTATTTTGTCTTTGCAGGAAGCTTTGTTGAAACAGATCAAAGAGCAGAACAAGGGATTGAAGAATACTGGGGGCTCCACCCAACGCTCAAAGGGATAAATATAGAAAGATACTCTCAACAACCTTGAAAGTCGTGACCTGCTTCCCTGCCTATACCCAAGAAGTTCAGGATGCTAATGCTTGCCAAATTTGATGGGACTTCAGCTCCTCGGAATCATGTCATGACCTACACTAGTGAAATCAAAGGAAATGACTTGACAAAATAAAAAATCAAGTCGGTGCTGGTCGAAGTGTTTGGAGAAATGCTCACAAAGGGAGCATTAACCCAGTATTCACTCTTGCTTGAAAACTAAATTTGTTCTTTTGTAGAACTTGTAGATTCCTGCATTAAGGCACACACCAAAGCCCAAAAAGTAAGAAAGTGGATCAAATATATCTTCAAAATTCAGCAAAGATGCACAGAGATACTCTGAGACTTTAGACTAATTTCAAAATAATGATGTTGTTAATAGAGTCATAACTAGGTTGTGTTGACTTTTGCCAATAATGTGAATGAAATCAGTTTGGAGGCTACTAGGATGTTAAAGGGCAGCCTCCAAGAATTCTCCACAATGGACTGGAGAGACGTATATTATCAATATAGTACCAAACTCTGACAGGAAAGAAGATAATCCGCTACCAGTCAAATCTAACAGTAGGATAGGGAGACAATACTACAATGATCAATCAGAGACAACACATAGAGAGTAGAGTCTGATCGAAGAAATTCAAAGAGTTAGTAGTTCTTGGCAAGAATCTGAGATGAGCCGAGATTGGAAATAGGCCGGGATAATAGAGGTACTAACCAAAAGAATAATGTTGTATCGTCACGAGAAAGTAAATGAGCAATTGTGCCAAATCTTGTTAATTACAACTTTAGTGTTAGCCCTTTCGAGCTAGTAGTTGCAACGAGAGAAGTAGGAGACAAAGTTATATGGCCCAAAGATATGAGAACAGATTCTAGAAAAAAAGAGTCATGAATTTTGGTGTGACAATCACAATTATGACCGACATAAGACCGTAAATTGTAAGGCTTTATAGCATGATCTGGCATATCTCATCAAGAAGGAATATCTCAAGGAACTATTAATCGATAAGGGGAATCAAACCTTCTTTAAGAATCAAAAATATGAAGAGCCACCCCTAGCTCTATCGCTCAAACGCACAATTTATGTCATCTCCTAATGAGCAAAGGTAAGCGGCGCCACATACGCAACTGCTAAAAAGTATTCCAATGTGTCAATCACACATGAAAAATGGAGCACAAAAATATTAATCAGGGATAAAATTACTTTTGGCGATGAGGATACAGATGGCCTAATATTTCTGCATCATGATGCACTGGTAATCATATTAAAAGTTTTGAATGCTGATGTTAAATGTATTTTTATTGACCCACGTTGCTCCATAAATGTAAGCCAATTACGTGTCGTAGAGATTTATCTAATGAAAAAGATCGTTCCGAAGGTGCCTCTACTTTTTGGGATTCAACAACTATAACAAAATAATGCACAGGAAAATTACCTTGCAACCTTCCCAAAAGGTGTAATCAACGATACCCATTCCAGGTGATAGCTGGAGAGATGGCCTGTAATATCATCACGGGAAGATCATGGATTCACTATATGGATGCAGTACCATCTATGTTATACCAGGTAATAAAATTCTCATATAAGTAAAGAATTAGGGAAATTAAAGGAGAGCAAAGAGTAGCCTGATAATACAACTCAATGACTCTTACAAACTTGCCAAAATGGGAATACTGAATAGAAATTAAAGTAGCAGGAGTCACCAAACCTTATTGAACCCTCAACTATTTCAACAGAACAAAAGTTCAGACGTAGCTGAACAAGGGGTCCCAGAGGGTCCGGATACGATCAACAAATCTCGAAGAACCAAATGTCACCAAGTCAGATAGAAAAGATTTAGATGCAACCATCCTCTTCATTATTTTCTGGAAAAAAGGTTTATATGGGCTTGAGACTCGACCCCAAATCAAAGGTAAACTTATTGAACTTTTACGAGCTAAAGCAAATTATTTTTCTGGTCCCATGCTGACATGAAAGGTATACCATTAGAAGTAATGTCATAAACTCAACATGGACCATTATTATTTTCTGGTCAAACTGATAAGGAATTCATATCACTTCGAAATAAATTAATTGAAGATGAAGTCTCCAAATTGCTAAAGGTTAGGTCAATTTGGAGGGTCAAATATCCGAACTGGTTAGCCAATATTGTGGTGGTCCCGAAGAAGAATAGAAACTAAAAGTGTTACAAATTTGATGGAATAGGAACATATTCGACGAAGATGGCAGAGATACTTCCATAAACACATGAAATAATAAAGGAACATAGACATTGTATTGGGTAATTTGGAGCACTCTGAGAGTCGTGAAAACTTTGAGTATTGTAGGCGTATAAGAGTTGAAGAGATCGAGAGGGATATTCGAAGGATGAGCAGGGGAAGAGCGACATGGCCATATAAAATTCTAATGGAATTTTGAAAAACGGGGGGGGG